TGAAACAGTATAAACATCTGTTGTCTGCCTATGAGCAGCAAGAAATATTGAACTTCTCTGAAATTTACTTTGTGGGTCCAAATGCAAAAAAGAGGCAAGGGGTCATTGGAGGGCCTAACAACGGGGGGTATGATGACGACCAAGGTAGTTACATTCACGTGCCTCATGACCATCTTGCTTACCGCTACGAAGTCCTTAAAATCATCGGGAAGGGCAGCTTTGGGCAGGTGGCTAAAGTTTATGATCACAGACTCCACCAGCATTTGGCCTTAAAGATGGTTCGCAATGAGAAGCGATTCCACCGTCAAGCTGCGGAAGAAATCCGCATTTTGGAGCATCTCAAGAAGCAGGATAAGACTGGCAGCATGAACGTTATCCACATGCTAGAAAGCTTTACCTTTCGGAACCACATCTGCATGACCTTTGAGCTCCTGAGCATGAACCTGTACGAACTGATCAAAAGAAACAAGTTTCAGGGGTTCAGCATCCAGCTGGTACGCAAGTTCGCCCACTCGATACTGCAGTGTTTGGACGCGCTCTATAAAAACAAAATCATACACTGTGATTTGAAGCCGGAGAACATCCTCCTGAAACAGCAAGGGCGGAGTGGCATCAAGGTGATTGATTTTGGGTCCAGCTGCTTTGAGCACCAAAGAGTCTACACGTACATTCAGTCTCGGTTCTACAGGGCACCAGAGGTCATTCTGGGGAGTCGCTATGGGATGCCTATTGATATGTGGAGTTTTGGCTGTATTCTGGTGGAGCTGCTGACTGGATACCCTCTCTTTCCTGGCGAGGATGAGGGAGACCAGCTGGCTTGCATGATGGAACTGCTTGGAATGCCTCCTCAGAAGCTCTTGGATCAATCCAAGCGAGCCAAGAACTTCATCAACTCCAAGGGTCATCCTCGCTACTGCACGGTCACGACGCATGCGGACGGAAGAGTGACCCTCAATGGCAGCAGGTCACGCAGGGGTAAAATGCGGGGTGCTCCAGGCAACAAAGACTGGGTGACAGCACTGAAAGGGTGTGATGACCCCTTTTTTATAGAGTTCTTAAAAGAATGTCTTAGCTGGGATCCTTCTGCACGCATGACTCCAAGTCAAGCTTTAAGACATCCTTGGATTTGCAAACGAACACCCAAGCCCCCCAGCACTGATAAAACCTCGACTAAACGGATATCGAACTACACAAGCTCTTTCCCAGGCATTGGTTCCAAGTTGCCTCCAGTAGTTGGCGTGGCAAATAAGTTGAGGGCCAATTTAACGTCTGACTCCAATGGCAGTATACCTCTATGCACTGTGCTACCAAAACTGGTCAGTTAATGGAGAACGACATACTTCCAGAGTTCTGTACCTTGTGTGTTAGTTTTCCTCCTAGTAATCTGTAAGGTGGTGAAATGCGGAGGTTTTTAATGGCTTTCCTTTTTACTAAGCACTAAATCTTGTTTAGAAAAAGTTGAAACGTAAACATTTCAAGGGCTAATTGTTTTATCAAGCTGTTTCAGTTGCAGTGTGGTGCATACGGCATCACTTGATAGGTCAGCACATCTGTTTGGCTCAGCGCAGTGACATGCTTTAACAGATGTGCCAGGTTGGTTTGAGTGTCATACAAAAAACAACAAGTCAGAGCATTTCTTATCAGGGCCAGTTCAGTCAGCAGATGGCTTGGCACTGACAGCAGGCAAACTAGGTTTAAAATGCTGCTGTTCTCTTGGATAGAAGGATCTCTGCTTTCTGTTTTAACTTGCAAATGAATTTTTGAACTTGAGGGAAGATGTTGCAGATCCACTGTCCAGAGTGCAAGTGTTTTAATCTGAGAAGTCGGGAGGTCACTAGCAAGCTGCTCATTTATGTTTTAACAATGTGATTGTTCTGTCCTGCTTTCCTTTAACCCATGGTGGCTGGGATTTTTCAAAGGAGCCCAAGGGAAGTAGGCATCAAAGGAGATAGGAGCCTAAATATCTTAAGCTGGGATGTTTGAAGGAGCCTACAGGCGTTTGGGGACATATTAGTTGTACATAGAGACATGTATATGCTGCTCCCATTGAAGGGTGTCTGGGTGCACCTAAGAGCAGAATTTGGCCCACAGCATTAAGCGCAGGTTGCTCAAATCCTCTTTTTGGAGTTTAAATTCAAGCATGTATTTTGGCCCAGTGATTCCTTCTCCATCCCTCCCCAACTGAAAATGCCCATCCTAAGAACAAGCACCCTTGCTATTGGAGGCTGCCTTAGAGAAATGTCTGCAATCCTGGCCTTTTAAATCCCTTTTTCTCCTGCAGGGTGAATTCCACTGGATTACACTGAGCTGCTTCTTAAAATAACAGATGCTCCTTTTCTGCTAAGCAAGTTGAATTTTTAAGGGCCGGGACTATAGTGAGAGGCTGTGTATGGGATAAGACTAGTAGTTGAAGGAATGGTCTGAAACCTTTCTAAATGTCATCTCTCAAATACCCGACGAATGCAGGTTAAACCATCTAAGCAGATTAGTGTCTTGAAACAAGGAAGTGCGTGGGGAAAAATGACTTTGTTTCAAGTTGTGACCTCTCTGGTATCTCCGAGAGGGTGATGCCTCAACTGCTGTTTTGCGTGCTTCAAATACACATAAAGGCTAGGTACAGACATTCAAAAAGTCCAAAGTGGAATCAGTCGAAGTTACATGGTTTTCTGTGAGCGGCGTAGTTTAGATCGGTGGTGAACAGAGCGCACATTCGCCCTTCAGTGGGGACGGCAAACCTTAGATTGGGTTCTGCCATTTTAAAACCAGTCTGTGTGTACTGACCTTCTGCTCCTTTATGGGTACTATAAACCTGTTTGCAATCTCCGGTAAAAGTGTGATGTCTGTACCTGGCCACAGGGTTTTTCTGTGTGTCTTTCTCTCTTCCCCATTTCTCCCCTTCCTTGCCAAGAAATGAAATGGCATTGTGATCAGTAGAGACAGCAGCACAACTTGCTGAAACTGTTAATCCATGTAGCCCCATGGTCTGAGCTGAGTCACAAAAACATCTGATCTCTTTCCAAGTGCTTGAACACAGTTCTAAATACAATTTAGAGCTTTTTTATGAGCCAAGGATTTTAAATTTAATGAGTTTCTCTGTAGCAATTTTTTTTTTATGGTAGGACAGGGAAGTTCCTAGTTACACAATCAGTGGAGTGGTTGGTGTGGCCGGCAAAATAAATTGACCAAGCATTTTAAATCCAAGGCTCTTGTTAGGTGATGTACGGTGCACTTTCTTATTCCTGTGTTTACTTACATTCATCAATGGCATGTTGGATCAGGGGCCCGGGTCCGTAAGGTTAAAAGCATGTCAGAATACCAGGATAAAGCTTGTCCAGCTTGGGCTTCGGATCTTGATCAATGGCAAACGCCTTGAAACCGGTTGGTAAAGTGACAGAGCTCAAGTTGAACAAATATGTCTATTTGATTTCTAAATCCCAAACTTTCCCAAGAAACTTGGCCCTATTAAGTATTTGCAGTATATACTTTTTATGTTTTGTTGAGTCGCCTTTCTACACAAGTGTCCAATCAGCCTGCTTACTAGCTGTGGTAAGGCAATACAGGCCAGCATTTAGCCATATACAGTTAATGGCTCCCAAAAGCCATGGCCTACGATCCTTGTCGGTTCCTGTTCCGCTTCCTAGGAGCTCACGAACAGTTTCTACAGTTGGCAAGGCAAAAGTTTTTTTTATAGGTACATTAGGCAGGCATATTTTTAGGCATGCTAGAGGATGCCTGCAGCTTTAGGATCATCTTGAATATATATGTAGCATCTTGATAAATAAGAGAGACTCGAATGATTTTTTTTCTTTCCCCCTCTTTTCCTGGTACAGTGAACCTTCTGGCATTGCAAAATGGCAAACAAAGCAATGGCAGGGAGAAACACCTTGACCCTGATTTGGCAGGGTCCCCTGATCATACGCTTAGCTTTAGCATGAGTCCAGTTCATCTAGGACTACCCATATATATAAAAATAGGACCGTGTTTAAGTACTTGGCTAGAGTGGTGCCTGCATCCCAGGATCACAGCAGACAGGGGAAGGGAGATGTTGGTGATCTTAGAGGATTTCTGCTATATTGACAGGTAAATTTCTGTTCTGAAAAAGAAGTCAGTGGGCAAATTTGGCTCTGTCCTGCACTCATTCACCCCCATTGACTTCAGTATAATTTAATACGTGTTTATGTTTATACTCTTGGCAAAATTTGACCGGATAGCCCAGAAGCAGGACGCACATCTGAATTCATAATGGTGTGAAAGGGGGAACTAGAAGCCTGGTCCTGCAAGCCCTCTAAACGCCGAACCCTTTGTGAGGGCATGTGGGAATGACACACGTGCAGTCTTTGGAAGCTAAAACTACAATGTCCAACATCCTGGAGGCGATTGCGTTTTCACCAGTCGAACCTCACTAGTGCTTGTTTGCCTTCATGCAAAAATATGACTATCTGCAATACTGGTACGTTGCATACTAGTATGTTCAGAAGTAATGCTGATATTTGTCAGGGTAAATGAACACAGCCGCTTTCTCTCTTTCTTTTCCTATGGCTATGGCAGTGTCCTCTATCTTCTTTACTTTGCAAATCTACAAGACCCGGCAAATCTCCCAGGCATTATTGAGGTTCTCCTGCTGTTTAAATCGCGTTCACCTGATGCTCTAGCACAGTGGTCTCCAAAGTGGGGTGCACGCACGACGATCCATTGGGGTGTGGGAAGAAAATACTAGAACTTCTATTTCTATTTGTATAAATATACATATATTGGGGGTGCGTGCTCAAAAATTTTTTACTGATAGGGATGCGTGATCAAAAAAGTTTGGAGACCACTGCTCTAGCACAATTCAAGTAGAAATTGCCAAGGTTTACAGTAAAACAATGAATCACGCTTCTAAATGCCTTTTACTGAATAAGTCCAAGCTTGTTTAAACAAGAGTTCCTTCCAGTGTTCACGATATTTTCCTGCACACAGCGTCAGCTCTGTATTGTAAATAACAACATACGCTGCTTATTGTGTGGTTTTAATCTTCTTTTAAGAAGTGTGGGTTGTAGGACTTTGGTTTAGCAATATTTTTGTGTTTAAATTGCTCTATGACAAGAAAGAAGCATCGGATCTGAGACCTGCTACTTTTTACACCGGGGTCCAAATATAATCTGAAAAGCCCGTGGCTCTGTTGTCCAAAGTGATGGGACAGTGAAGTATCCTTCTTGCACTAAAGATTAGGATAATACTTTTAGAAGGATTTACACAAGAGGTACATTTACTTAAGGTTCTGTTATTTTACTGCTGCGATCTTACTAACACCAATTGCTGACAGTGGTGTTTCCCATTTTATATTGCTTATTACTGTGGGAAGATTTCAGCGACCTTCTATATGCAGCAGGTTCTGTTGTCCATTAGTATTTTTTAGTTTTCCTTCCTACTTAGTTTGAATACAATCTCTGGTCTTGTGGCAATTGAAGAATCCGGATCAAACTGAACAGAAGGTGTTTTTAAAAGGTGTTTAAGGCAATTTATGTGGGACTGTTAGTCAAAATCTGGTATAATTCACAGTGATAGTGACCCTTTTGGACTGGGATGCTGTTAAAAACCATCTGGTATCTTTTTAATGGTAGATCAACACAAGAGGTGCTTTGTAGCAGCGATCCTCTTAAAACTACCTCTGAATAAACCTTGGGTCCTTTTTAAAGACACCCACTGCAGACCACAATCCCCCTCCCTTTTTAACAATCGTGCTGGGCGCTTTGGTTGTAAAGCACATACATGATGATCGCAGCAATGTCTTGCTAATCCCATGAATACAAGCAAAAGGCTGATTCTGCACCCAGAGCTCTGTATTTATTTGAGCGATATAAATCCTCTGCCCGGCAAAGTTTAATGCTGTTGTGGAAGCAAAGGGCCAAAATGATATGGAAAGATTTTCAGTACTTCTATGCACTATACAACTGAGATTAAAAACAGATTCTGCACCAAAAGGCATTTCTGATGGACAAGTTGGAGGGTTTTTTCTCTCGGAGGTGCTGAGTACCGATCACACTCTGATTTCAGGAGGAATTATGCGTGCTCTTCAACTCTGAATGTTGGCTCCAAGTTCTCATACTCCAAGGATACCACAAGCGCCATTTAAAGTTTTTAACATTTTTCTCTTTTTAGTAAGGTATCAGGGACATGTAATTTATATAATATGCAAGTTTCATGCATCTCGCATACTTCCCATAGAAGATCCTCTGTCTAGTCTGGTGCAAACTTCTACTGGTGTTACGTTAAATAAAGCCTCTTGATATTGGTGCCCACCATGCCATACAAAAATCCAGGGTCTTCAGACTCTCACAAGCCAACCTTCTTCTGGCTGTTTTTAAATGACGTGTGCTTCCTTTCTCCCGAATAAAACCCTTATGAATGAACTAACTGGTTGATTAGTAAGTCTGTGTTGCTAAAAGAACAAACTGTTCCCTTTTCATAGTACTGTGCCTTATTATTTTTACCAGCCTACATCTGTCTCAGTGCAATCCAGTTACAATTCAGGGTTTCTTATACATTGCAAGTGTTCACACAAAAATGTCAATATGTCTAAAGAATTTACAGGTTAGCCTTTGTAATATTGTAAATACTGTGATGAGTGTAATATGATGGAAATTGTAGAGACCGCTTAAGGTGCATGTGAGCTTACCCGTTTCTGTAAAGGAACATTTTTTGGGGGGGGAAAAAGTCAGTTTTCAACTATGTATGTAAATGTAATGAACAGATATTTCCTAAAATTGTACTTCAGTTCATTTTTAAAAAAAAATAAATACATAATTTTCTTTAGCAAAAGGCTGTGCAAGTTCCTGAAAGAAATACTTGACTTTTCTTTCTTTTTTTTTTTTTTAAAGGGGAAAAAAAGTGCAGTAATACTTTCCAGATGGTATAACTTAACTTGCACTGCCAAATATTATACTCGGTGGCATCTAACTAGAACGCACTCGAAAAATTTCAGCCTTTACAAGAGATCCTTACCAGGGTGCCAAGTGTGATGCGTCTGTGTATGGAAGGAGACAACTAGGAGAACAAATGAGCAGGAGAAATATTTTGTGTTATTGAGGCTTTACCAAATGAGCTGGCATTACAAAAATAACAACTGAAAGCAGCCAGCTGTATTGAAGTTGTGGGAGAATAAAATGTCCTCCATCACTGACTGGATTCTGAACTTGAAAAACATCTTTTCTTTTTTCTCTGTTTTTTTTCCACAGACTTGATAAAGTTTTTTTTCCCTTCGCAGTGTTTCTATGTCTGCCGTCCTTGAAATGCCAGAGGAAACATACGGTGGACAGCTTTACGACTTCAATATGCTCATGCTGAATGCAAGTGGCCTGACAAATGTTCTTCTCGTTAGCGGTGCTGTAAATGGACATCTCGGAGTTTTGCCATAGCATTCTCAAGTCATCACTTTCCCATTTGAGCCAGTGGAGTTTTGTTTGGTTTTTTTAAGCCTTCTTATCCCTAGCCTGGAAGGAAAATCCAGCAACAGCCACTCAAGAAAGCTTTGCTTTTTATAGAAGCTTACATTTGTGTACAGTAGGTTCCCCATTTATACAGTGGAATAGTTTGAAGTTGAAGTCACGCTCCCATAAAAAGGCCTGTGTAGCTATGGCCTGCAGGATTAAAGGCTTTGTTTTCATAAGGAAGATGTTAATCTTCATGAAATCACTTGCTGCCAATTCTTGACCAATTGAATCAACTGCATTACACTGGAGAAGTGTATTCTCTGATTTAAGGGCGGCTTTGAATTACGCGACT